CCCTTCGGCCAGCGACCAACGCCGTTGCATTCCTAAGAGGCTCCGTGGTCAGTCCTCATCTTCCTCACCGCGGTAGTCTTCGCTGATCTGTCAACATTCGGCAGACTTAAGGAGAATGAAGGGAACGCTTGTGCCATCACAGCAACAGCAATCGCAGCAACAGCAGCAGCGATCTACACTTATCTTACTCACGAACCTCTTTCTTACCGATCCAAGATTGGTATCCTTGTCAGGAGCACCATCTTGCGGGGGCATGATAGAAGATAAGATTTCCCCACTATATAAGGAAATCTTATCTATTCTGTTGAGGAAAATCCTCTATTCTGTTGAGGAAAATCCTCCCTCTTAATCCTATAAATAGGAGAGGAACATGTTAATGTATTCAAGCTAAAGTTTATCTACAGCTTCCTCTTCTGCTACAGCTTCCTCCTCTGTTGCAGTTTCCTCCTTTGCTGTAGTAGCATCACTGCAACATTGCTGTAGATTTCTTCTCTACCGTCGCAGCCGTCGTAATCGCAATCACGACCAACGTCGTTGAGAAAAGCGAAGCTTCGCTCTTGCCTTCGGCCAGCGACCAACGTCGCTGAGAAAAGTGAAGCTTCACCCTTCGGCTAGCGATCAATGCCGTTACAATCCTAAGAGGCTCCGTGGTCAATCCTCATCTTCCTCACCGCGGTAGTCTTCGCTGATTTGTCAACATTCGGCAGACTTAAGGAGAATGAAGGGAACACCTGTGCCATCACAGCAACAGCAATCACAGCAGCAGCAGCGATCTACACTTATCTTACTCATGAAGCCTCTCGCTTGTAAACCATTCTTTGCATCGATCCAAGATTGGTATCCTTGTTAGGAGCACCATCTTGCGGGGGCATGATAGAAGATAAGATTTCCCCAACTTGATAGAGGATAAGATTTCCCCAATTAGATGAGGAAATCTCTCTATTCTGTTTATTCTGTTGAGGGAAATCCTTTCTCCTAATCTGTATAAATAGGAGAGGGAATATGTTAATAGATTCAAGCTAAAGCTATTTTATTTCTATAATAAAGCTTCTTTAATTATTGTTCTTATCTTCTATTATTTCTATCAGTTAGGTCCTTCTCATGCAACGTGATCATAAACCATGATGATGGGGAAGAATGCAACTATAGTGGAGCTTCCTCTCTCTACTCCCTCAAATGATGCACCATGCTAGCGTTGCTATCGCCTCCGACATGAAAGACCTATCCCATATGATCATCACCAGACGCCTTCTCGCCATGTCTTCCACAATCCTTGTGACCTTCTCTCTCCTACCTACTAGTTTCGCTTGCAACCTCACCTAATCAATCAATGACAACGAGCTACTTTGCCTAGCCAGGCCACATGGAAGGTATGTTGTCGTTCTCATCAACTTCGACTCCTCTAGAGTTGCTTTACTCCTTTGATTGAGTGACGATGAGAGGCGAAAGTAACGGATTATAGTTGTGGAGTATGCGAGTGAGCCAACATCGATGCTTGGGCACTCAATGCTAGTGCGCTAATGTAATACCCTACTTTTAATTCCACCTATATCCTATATGCATGAATAAAATATGATGTCATATTTTTATTTTCATTACTGCTATCGATAAGAGTCTAGCAGAAAGTAGACAATCTTAAAATTAAAACATGTTAACTTACTAAATAAAATGATAAAATTTCTATACACAGTATTTTGACACCTGTACATAATTATAATATTTAATCAAAGAAAAACACACACACATAACATGACCAAAAATTATATACATAATATGACCATAGGTGAGGCTTGCATATGCTCACTTCCCTACCCAATCACTTGGGTGAGGTACTAGTATATTTACTTATAAAATATTATCTATAATAAGTAATCACCCAGTAAGTATAAATATTTATTCAGGTGATCATACATTATATCATGTATATAATATTTTTAAAATTATTATTATAATATATTTAACGGTAAACAACTTATCCTATGATTTCTTTAGCGAGCATAACTCTAGACATAGTATATACATAATAATAAGGAGATAAAATTCTATGTAAAAATAATTTAAAATACTTATATATAGGAAATATAGTAAATTCATCAAGTTTTATACTTCATATCATAACATATATAAGCACTCTCAAACCGTATGTCATAATATATACGTATTCTTTTATACCGTATGTCATAATACATGTGTGTTTCCGCACCATTTGTCATAGCATATACGTGCATTGCACTCACACACCGGACGTCATTATATATGTATGCATACAAGATATTTTTATTGTAATTCATATTTTTTATATTTACAAATTATATATATTCATATTTTGCTCATGACAAACATATCATTCGAAACATATTTTCCAAACTACATTATGTATACGATAATTATTTTTTAATGAATTGAACTTATATTTACCTGATTAAACTCATTATAAAAATATAAATAAAAGATTAGGTACCTTAATAATCGAGTGTGTTATGAAGTAATACATCTATTAAACTTAGAGCAAAGAGTCATGAGATGTCTTAAGAGGTTATCTTGAGATCTAGGGTTTAATTTTATTCGGTCCCGTTTCAAAAAAAATTTCCTATTAATATAATTCTAATATTGCAACAACTTCAATTGACTTTAATTTGGTTAAACAAATATGGTACTTTTGATCTAAACTCATCATTTAATCTTATTTATATTTATAACACTCCTCTTTGATTTATATATATATTTATTTATTATTCCATTCATGTCTAAGCACCTTATCATCCTCTATATACATAATGTTAAAAACTCAAAGTTCATTATGTTAATCATGATCAAACTTATTTAAGCTTTGAGATTTATTTAAGACCAATTAAAATTTAATCGTTATTTCTAGTTACTATATGCATGCTTATTATCATAACTTAATATATTCAAGTCGACTAGTATACTTTAGCTTGTTGTGCTATGCTTAAAATAAACATTAATATTTATGTATGCTCAATCAATATTTAATAGATCACTAAGAATAGTATTTTTTAAAAAAATATATTTTAATATCAAAAGTTGAAAACATGAACATATCATTTATGATATTATGAAGTTCATCGCTTCCTCCTAGCTCAATTCGCAACCAATGAGGTGAAAGTGATCGAACAAAAACAACCACTATGTGTTAGAAAATGTATATGTCCCTCTCCTATTTATACAGATTAGGAGGGAGAATTTTCCTCGACATATTAGAGGATTTGTCTCAATAAAATAAGAGATTTCCTCATATAGTTAGGGAAATCTTATTTGCTATCACTATGAACAAGAAATGTTTATGAGATTTCATGAAATGAGAAACACTTCATGGGAAAAAAAAAGAAAGAAAAATGAGGGATCATCTTTTAGAAAATTAAAAAAAAGAGAGAGAAGGTTTTTCTAAAACCCGCTCGATGTAATAATACTAATTGCGAATTAAATGCTCAAACTGAGCTCTGTTTTAATGCTTCTCCAAATATCATATGGAATCTATATTAGGAATTGCTTTTATTATAATCCATTACGATCAGAAAAAAAAAGAATAAAATAAGCACAAATGCCTATTAGGAAGAAAAAGAAGAATTCAATTATAACAAGTAATAATATACTGAATAAATAAACATCGTTTATAAAGATCAGTTACATTATGCATGTACATAATATCTATAAAAGAGTATCATTGATACCAATGATACATATCGTATAATAATATTACCTAATGATGCTATAATCATCATACAATCATACATTACAAACAACTATGACTAACCAATGAATGCCGGTAATATTCGAACTTAGATACACATGAAAAGTGAATGACGATTCGAATGACTTATACGAGCTTGATTGATGTCGAACTATCGACTTGGGTTTTACCATTCGGGGTCAATGATTTAGGTATAAAGAGTTGATAACCCTTTATTTCATTTGTTTTAGTCATGAGAAATCATATTAGAGCCTATAGATCCTCATAATTCGAAAGAAACTTCGAGATTTCTGTCGAAGTAGTGTCTCGAATCGTAAGCTATATCTTAAGTAAATTATTATTAGTCATGAATAAGTCACTAATATCTTTTTGAGAAGACATACGATAAAATTGGAACGATACAGAGAAGAAATTGAATCCTACACGCACGAACACGAAAAAGACCCAAACCAACCACATCATTGTTTTGAAAATATATTTCTCATACCAAGAAAAAGAAAAATAATTGTAGAGGCCAGAGAATGTTTGCAGGTTTTGAAAGATGATGATCAACTTGGAGCGTCAGCAACGTAAAGAACATTTGACTTCCGAACTTGACATTCGGTGTCACAGTCCACTCTTCTAGACAGTCCATTCCCTACTGCAGAACCAACCAAACTGAACGCTCCAACCCAGTCAACCTAAGATTCCCAGAACAGAACAAATGTGTGGTATACATGCCTTGGTCTTGGTGGGGCAACGCACGAATCACTGTCACTCACATAGACCAGTCGTTGATGACAAGTTCCACCACGACCAACTACGCCGGAGATCGCTGCGACTGTGGGAGCGGAAGACGACTTTGTGTTTCAGTGGACCACAAACGAGAGGTAGAAAGCTGAAATGGAGGATGACTCCACCACACACCAGTCTGCGACGGCGACTTCCACAACGCTTCATCTGCGTTTGGATCCAATGGTCTCTTGGCAAAAGATTAGAGGTCCAATGAGATGCTGGAAACTGGATCACCTTTGCGTGGTTCTTACAGATCAAGTGCTCGATCGTTGGTTGCAGCCAAAAAGTATGCTCGCTCTCTCTCTCTCTCTCTCTCTCTCTCTCTCTCTCTGCACTGACAGAGCCTTTGGCGAACTCGTTACGTTTCGTCCTCTGCATGGCAAACCTGGAAGCAGTTCCTCGGAATCTTCTTGGATGGAGGAGTTGTGTTCTCCTTTGGAGAGAGCCGGTGACCCGTACGTGTTGTAGTAGCTGATCTCAAATCGAGTAGAGAGTACCGCTGCGTGTTGCGACTGCCCCTTATGAACAGTCAAAAAGGGAGAAGTCTAATCTGAGCTCTTCATCTGCTGTGCGATAGCATCTTACTACCGCGTGGATGCACGCTTCTTGTCGTCGCAGTCTATGGTCTCTACGCGCACTCTCCCTTTGACGCGTCCATCTCTCTCTCTCTCTCTCTCTCTCTCTCTCCGTCATCGCTTTCGATCCACTTCACGCTCACGGTTTATAAACCCCACAACAGCGGCGGACTACGTCGAGCCCCAATCATCGAAATCTTGGATACGCCGGCAGGTCCGCTAACAGTTGCCTCTCCGTCGCTGTGCATGGGCCAATCCGCCTCCAGCCGCCTCACCGACGCGCCTCCGGCAATGGGAGGCGTCTCGTTGACGAGGGACTACACCGCTGGCCTCCCCGACGAGTGTCTTGCTCTCGTCTTCCAGTCCCTCGGCTCCGGCGACCGAAAGAGCTGCTCCCTGGTGTGCCGGCGGTGGCTCGCCGTGGAAAGCTGCAGCCGCCGCAGCCTCTCCCTCGACGCCCGCGCTGCACTGTCCGATGTGGCGCCCGCCATATTTGGCCGCTTCGATGGCGTCTCCAGGCTTGCCCTTCAGTGCGGCCGCCGCCACGACAGCATCGGTGACGAGGCCCTCGCCCTCGTCGCGGTGAGCTTCCCCGGCCTGGTCAGCCTCAAGCTCCGTGCCTGCCGCGCACTCACCGTGGCCGGCATGGAAGCCATTGCCCGTCACTGCCCGGGCCTCCGCGAGCTCTCCGTCAGCTCCTGCACCTTTGGCGCCAGGGGCATCGACGTCGTCCTCCGCGGGTGTCCCCTCCTGGAAGACCTCTCCATCAAGCGCCTCCGCGGTCTCCACGACCCCTCCGCCACCGCCGATCTCGTCGCCGGTGCCGCTTCACTCCGCTCCCTCTGCCTTGAGGACCTGTACAACGGACAGTGCTTCGCGCCATTCATTGCCGGATCCCCAAACCTCAAGACGCTCAAGCTCATCCGCTGCTCCGGCGACTGGGATCCGCTCCTGCAGGACATAGCCGTTAAGGTCCCCTTGATCGTTGAGATACACCTGGAGAGGCTGCAGGTGACCGACAGCGGTCTCACCGCCCTGTCCGGCTGCATCGATCTCGAGATCCTCCGCCTCGTCAAGACGCCGGAGTGCACCGACGCAGGCCTCGCCACCATCGCGGACCGCTGCCACCGCCTCCGCAAGCTCCACATCGACGGCTGGAAGGCGAACAGTATCGGCGACGTGGGCCTCCAGGCCGTGGCACAGCGATGCACCGGCCTCGGAGAACTGGTCCTCGCTGGGCTCGATCCCACGTACCGGAGCTTGGAGCTCATAGCAAGCAACTGCGGCAGCTTGGAGCGCCTAGCTCTCTGCGGCAGCGAGACCATTGGGGATGCCGAGGTCGCCTGCATTGCCTCCAAGTGCACGTCTCTGAAGAAGCTCTGCATCAAGGAATGCCCGGTGTCCGACCAAGGGATGGAGGCTCTCGCCGCGGGGTGCCCAAAGCTGGTGAAGATGACGGTGAAGAGGTGCTCCGGAGTGACGCCAGATTGCGCGGATCGGCTGGTGGCGAGCAGACACGGGAAGTTGGCGGTCAACCTGGAGGTCAACGACGGGTCGACCAACGACCAGCAACAGGAGGCAACGGAGGAGGGGAGTGCCTTGGAGGAATTTGGTATAGCGGCGGCTATAGGCGGCAGCGAGCTGCCACGTCCTCTGGTCGATGGTGTGGGCAGTCAGGGCAGGTGGCCGGGTAAGAAGAAGCGGGCGGGCTTTTTCGCCACCAGAAGGAACTTGGTGGCCTCTGCCCTAAGGAGATTGTCTCATGGAAGCAGCAATTCCAGTCACAGTCCGTCCGTGAGAGGGGAAGGGGAGCCCTCGGCTTTCTCAGTAAGTGTAGTATAAACCTTCGTGCTTCTCAACAAGCTGTAGAACTGCTGCTTAAAACACAGTGAAACATCAACAATAATAACATATTTTTCTTCATAATAACATATTCGACAATGTGTTCGACGACATAAACGTGAAAAGAGAAGCTTGTTCACAGCGAAGCTGCTCGACTGGTCGCCATTGTCCACTCTTCATGAAGTAAATGCTTTGACCATCCAATTATGATGCTAAAAAAGATGACTATTATAACAATTTTAAATAATATTTCGATATGTTATACACATCATATTGACTAAAAAAAAGGATAACTATTAGTCACTATTCATCAAACACAACAATCTTGAATCCTAGATGAGCTTACCTTAGTGGACTTCTCGCCCAATCTCTTCCTGTTGCTGTTGGGCTGCTTACCTCTAACCTCGATAATCTGGCCTTGGATGGAGAGGTCTGAGCGGAGGAAGTTTGCGTGAGGAAGAGTTGGGGAGGATGAGCTGAGCGGACAATGGTAAGCGAAGAGGGCTCCTGCAAAATATATCTGAGTTCATGCATGCATACCTTTAACCTCAAGAATCTGCCCTTGGATCCTGTTGCTGGATTCACAAAGAAGATAATTCACAAGTATTAGCAAGGTATAACGAGCGAGCAGACACACACACAAGATAAACATGAGATCCGGGAAGTAGCATAAGAATAGAATAGAACTACTATCAATCATTTCCAGTTTCTGCATATTTGTGACGATCTTAGAGCAGCTGAAAAAAAGACTTTACATGTAATTAACATGTTACAAGAGAATGAATAGATCATCGTTTGGTTAGATGGCTCAGTAACCAAACACTCGGAGCAAGACAGCTGATCAAGTGCAGTGACAGCGCAGTGGGATTGAAACACCTTCGGGTTTTCGCTTTTCCCGGATTATTGCTTCCCTAATTATCGGTACCTTCTGATAGATCTTTCTCCAAATGTGGTTCACCGCACCAACAGGAGGAACAGGTCCTATGCCACCAGGATTGCCGTTATCATACTCAAAAACAGGCTGAACTTGTGCCATATTCAGGCGATATCTTCGTTTACGCTGTTCAGAAATACTCCTCAAGTAATTTACTAGCCACTTCGGTTGCAATGCTTTGCTGACAGGCACAAAAACTGAGAAATCTGAGTAGTCTATCATTCCTTCAAATGGGAGCTCGATTTCATCACTGACGATGACTGGTATACAAAGACTAAGAATGGCATCAAAGAGGCGACATGAGGTGGGGGTATCTCCTGCGGGATGCAAACAAAATTCTGAGGAACGCATTCCTTTAATCGACTGCTCACGACCGGTGGCATTAGGAAAACCTTCTTCCATGATAACACCAGGCTCATTAACCAACAAATCCCATAATTTTTCACGGATCAACCCTCCCTGCAAGAGATGCAAGATTTAGGATTCAACTTCATGGCTTCTAAGTGTAGTAATAACATGAGAAAGGCAACAAACTTGTAACTAATATAGATGTAGCTAGACATCATTGCATCTAACAAGCTAGGCAGTAAGATGACAAACAAGAATGTCTGCTAATATTGGTTAACTTTGAATGAGAAATGATATTCTATGTGACTAAATATGTAACCAATCAGGCAGTGATTGTGAATGTAAATATTACAATTCAGGCAATCAATTCCGTAGACATTTTCTTAGCTTAGGTATTTGATTGGCATTCCCCAGTTCCACATTACTTGTTGGTAAAAGGCCCACTTGCAGCAAAAATTTTACACTTTTGATAAAAAAGAAAATATAGGAAATGAACTGTAATTCAGGAAATTCTACAGTGACTTTGGAGTTCCAGACAGGCAAGCAAAGAAATGAACTAAAGCATAATTTGACAACCATAATTGAGTCTGATGTCAGGCAGCTGTTTAACCAGAAAAATCAAAGAAATATGCTTGATGAAAAGATACCCAAAAAAACATTTTCTAAATGTAATGCATCTGTTAATAACATGACTCAGCAGAAATCTTCAACAAATCAAAAAACAGTTTCCAAGTTATATTTCACTACTCAGCTGCTTTCTCCTTAAAAATTATGGTACTTTAAATTCATTACTTCATGCAAAAAGGAAATCAAACAATATATCATGTAAAAACATGATGGTGGCTGGATCGAAGAAAAGCGGTGACCACTAAATATCTCTTTGAAGGAGGGGGCTCCATAATAAATTCATTTAAATTCCTGTTGCTGTTCCCTAGCCAACAAGGTGGGGGTTGCAACAATAGTCCCCATCAGAATACATAAATAAACAAGATTACATGAGCACACAAGTTAGGCGATATACATGCAAATTAAAAAAATCTAGAGTGGAACAAAAGCAGAAAATTTGTTGTGCTGTTGCAATTCAAAGGCGGAAGCCCTTATCTTATAATATCTTAATAATGAGTAATAAATTTGAAGGAAGAAGACTAACCCGGTGCCTATGTTTAGCCCCTTTGAAGTAGAGAAGGTTACGCCTATGCCGATTCTCTGACAATCGCAATCTAGGTAGCAGATGGGTGTAAGGCACAATCACGTCTTTGAGCAATGAAACCTGAGTGTGATGTATCATATTTGAAGAGTTGGCAGATTCTTTAGAGTCAATCTTGTACCAACCACCAAAATCAACCACTAGAAGAATAGCAGGAGCTATCTCGCTTCTCACGTGCCAAGTAGCTACCGGATCTGCCAAAGAAACCCCCAAGTTTTAACACAACCTGACAATCCAGAGACTGAAGCATAAGAAGCTAATGCAACAGTAGTTGAAGCGCAACAAAACGCAATAGATTTTCACACACACTGCCAATCGAAGCAGGCGTCACCCAGATGCTGAGACGAACCCTTCTATTCGCACCTCTCAGTGCGTTACTTGTCATAGTGACACTTGATTCGCCAGACACCTAAGCTAATCATTTCTCTTGCAATTTTAGTGTTGAAAACAATAGCTACAGCAATCGAGGGCACAAAGGAAGCAGAAGGTTGGATGATCTAATAATGCACTGAAAGATCGCACTTACATCAAGAACCCTTACCAGTCAAGACGAACACGTGATCCCGCCCGCCGGATCTCCTCCACGCCTCCGATTCCCTGATCCGATCCACCGCCTCCCTCTGCCGCCTGTAATCCTCGTTCCCCTCCTTTTTCAAGAACCCGCCTTTCCTCCCCCACCCGAGCTCCATCTCCGCGCTCAGCGTGGCAAAGAACGGCACGAACACCACGTCGGCGCGGTCCAGGTCGTACACCCTCTCGGCGAACGAGCTCCCCCTCCGCCCGCTGGGCGTCTCGAGGTCCCCCAGCAGCCAGTACTCAGCGCTGTACTGCTTGATGAGAGGATTCTCCGGGTAGGGCTTCCAGGGCGCCGCAGCGGCGACGGCAGGCCGGAGACCGGCGTCGGGGTCGACGCCGATCCGGGAGTCTGGGGTAGAGAGCGCCCAGTACTCGTCGAGGAGGCCGTAGTTGAGGGAGCGGGGAAGGTCGGCGACGAAGACCTTGAGGCGGGGGGCGGAATGGAACGTAGGGCTCGAGGAAAGGAGGGATTTTGGAGAGGGGGAAGGGTTGAATCGGGAGGAGATTAGAAGGAGAGCGAGAGCGAGGGCGAGGACGATGACTGCAAGAAGGGGCACGGAGGCCTTCATGGCTTTCCTCCACCGGCCTCGGTTTGCTCCGAACGAGACTGACCTGAGCCACTTCTAAATGGGTTTAAATGCTTAGCAAATAGACGAACCGGTTGCTTTCGTCATCAATTACCTTCGTGTCTCCTAAATAACAATTATCGTATACAATTCGTATTCTAAAATTACAAATCTTTTATCATTATGTCGACCAAAACCAAAAAAGAGTTGACTGAAAACTCAATAACAATAATACAATACACGAGAATAGAATAAGAACATCATATCAGGGACGTAGCCTCCTTTTTACCTACGACGCCGAGTATAAAGCAAAAGCAAAGGATGCATCAAGAAATTAATGTCTATAATTTCCAGGACAACATGAAGAAAAGGTAGCATCATCATCTCAGTCTGATACATACATCTAACTCAGTACAAAGTCGTACAACAGTCTCACTATGTAAAGGTATCCTCCCTGTCTGCCTCTGCAGCATCCCCCTCTTCCAGATTACTAAACTCCAGGAAATGGGTCGGCCGGTGATCCTCGTGGTAGTAATCCCTTGGCGTTCCCAGCTTTACACCGTATCGCATGCTTGCGGTGTGCTTCACTCCCATGAAATTGTAGTTCCAAGGACCATTGTCAGGGACCTGAGATTGACATCGTTGTTTGGGTTCAAGACAAATGGGATGTTATCCTAAGTTAGAGAACAGACTGTGAATAGAAACATGTATTACCATGTAGAATCCCAAGAAACGATCGCTGAGAAGCATCTGCACTTTCTCGTAGTGTGTTGGTAGATAACCATGGGGGTTGCTTCCAGTGTCCTTGTTGACTCGACCCCATTCGTAACCTGATGGGGTTAACTTGTATGCAGTCAAGGAACAGGATCCCGGAGTGAAGCTGCAGGTCAAAATAATGCACTTCTCTCCATCCCACTGCTTATTGTTCTCCAGTACCCGAGAATGGGCTGTCAGATCCTGCAGGGGAACAAATGCAGAAACATGAACACGATTCTTAGAATCACATTGCAAAATAGAAGAAGAAACAAAAGTAGGAATATTAACCTGTGGAGATAGTTGAGGAAGCTCATTAGGTTGTGTGTGCATCCATCCCAGAGGCTCCAAGTCATTCAAGAAGTCGTGCTCAGGTAGCGCTGATGGTAGATGGACCTGCTGATGTGTCCCCCATTGGGGTGGCATGACAATGCAACGGATCTCCTTCACTTGTGGGTTATCTTGGGGGCTCAACCCGTACAGGTAACCAGAAATCTGAGTTCTCAGATCCGCTATGCAGATAAACTTCTTCAATATGTTCTTGGGCATGATGTAAGTGTATCCAGTCTCCTGTTGATTGAAAAACCAGTTTATTGCAATAAACATTTGAAATTGTAGGTTTAAGATGATAAATATTATAAGTTCAGCTTTAGTACCTTGATGTCATCTGAGTTCACATAAATGTGATTAACACGAAGATAAAGATTTGTAGCTGAAATAGCCCTCACTCGCCAGTCGGTCTTGGAACCAAATGCTTGCTGCTCGTATGGGCTAGTAGTGGTGACTATAAGCTCATCACCATGCACATTTGTTGTCCTGGTTGTAACGGCCGTTAATTGACTAGCTTCTTTGGCCTACAGACAGAGAAAACCATTTTGAAGACAAAAGTAAGGAATAGAGTTCCAAGCAGCACATTCGAGCAAATACGAACCTGTTTCTCGATTTCAGCAATCTGTTGTCTCTGCTGTGAGGGTGGAGCAATCTCTGCACCAAGTATTATGTCACGGATTTCAGACTGCGTCAGTGCGGATGTGTTCACATTGTTCTTTTTTGCATAGTCAGAAAGTATGAGATCTCTAAGCGCAACCTCCACCTGAATCAGGTTTTTTCTTAGTAATCCATAAAATTAAGTGGTAAAGAAAAACAATAAAAGATGCTAGTAAACAACTTCCAAGTTTTACCTTCATCCACTGATCATCTGTCAGAGAAGGCCAGATATGATGTGGTTCAGTGATGATTGTCTTGTCAGGCTTCAATAACATCTTTGCTTTCTCATTGTTCACATGCAGTGCCCGCAATATCAATATAAGACGGGAGAAGGCAGTGTATGATGATATACTTTTCAACCAATCATCATAAATATTAAACAGAACCATCTGAGGTTCAGTAGCCTTCAAAATTAGATCACCAAACTTTTCAATCTTTAAGCAAGCCTGGAAGGGCAATTGTAGCTCACTACCCTTGATTACAATGTTGGGAAAATCGAGCAAGTGGACCTCTAGAGGATCCAACATTCCTTTGCGCGTGACAATAATTTGCTTTGGCTGCTCTTCGACAGGCAACGACCGCACAAGAGCAGCTACTTCTTCCGCAGTTTTCCACTTGGCCAGCTGGCCAAGACGCTTTTGCCCTGCCCAGACACTTGTATGGATAACCTGTGAGAACATACCAGCAGTTAAATGTTTAACACATTACATCAAAGGGTTCCAAGCTAACTTAAACAAGTATTAAAAGAAATGACAACCTTCAGAAATAGCTGTCCTGTTCTTGGGTTGAATATAAATATGGCACCATTTATGGGCTTAGTAGTGAGATTTCCCTCGAAAGTTTTATGTATTGTTACTCTATACACATTTGTGTCATCAACAAACCATATGATTTGGTTGCTGAAAATCTCTCCATAGTTCTGTGATGAGAGATATGGTTCAGTTGGCTCAGATGAATACAGCTGCAGACCTTTCCTTATGCGCTCTCTCAGAACATACAATGCTGGGTTTGACTACATTTAAACATCAAGAGTAAGCAAAACTGGTGGCAGCAGGCATAAATTCTAAAGAACCAAGATTTGATAAATTTATACCTTCATGATCTTGTTCATTGCTTGAGCCAATAAAGGCTTCGATCCAGGGAACCAATTGCCGAAGGCTGAATGCAGGTTATATGCCAAATCTAATCCGATCATGACACCTACAGAGAAATAGTTAGCAAGTTTCCAGATGATTACAGAATTCCTAGTGAATATCAAGTCAATTATGCAAGACATACCAGTGGGTGATGGATATATGGACATATTGTCTGTTGTATAATCCATAAACTTGGCCCTAGTATAACGTTCTATGTCATGGGAGTCGTAGTCACCCCAACGAAGTTGCACATCAATCCAGTATTTATTGCTTGCTTTTTGATCAAAAACATCCTTTGACTCAGCAACTAGGCTTGGTTTGGACATGGGCCATCTATGTGCAGCAAAGAGGAGAACATCAGCACAAGAACTATTCATCTTGTAGCTTTTCCTTGGATGTATAGTCTCTTTCTGCACAGTCTCTATTTCTAATGCATCCAGTTCTTGATCCAAAACTTGGCACAGGTCCATAACAACACTCTCATGAATCTTTTGCCAAAGATGAGCACGGAATATCTGAATCAAAGATATCTTCAGAGTAGGAATTTTTCCATGCATGAATATCCCTGTAAGATCAAGCTGAACCTGGAAGCCCACATACACATTTGCACGATTGATGGTGGGAGACCACCACAAAGTAAACCTACGGTTTGGAATTTGATTTAGACCTGAACGCTGTGCATTCGTTAGTTTCTTATACTTCATAGACTCCTCAAATCCAGATGCCTTCTCCCAGAAGAGACCTTCCCAGGTTGGGAAACTGAAATGGATGACCACAATTAGTTGAATATATGGAATAAAGATACTGATAGGATGAAAGACCCTTAAGATTGTCAAACAAACACCATTATTAGTAAAGCATGTTAATTTCTACTTACTATGTCCCTTTAAACAAGGTGTGTTCCAGAATTCCTTCTACACCTCCAAGTGCTTGGATAACATCAGTCCGGTAATTATTCAAGTTCCAAAGCTTGCCATCATGCCGCTGGTGGGTCCACCAAAATGGATTCTGCTTCAAAACTTGATACTGTTTAAAATCAGTACGAACTCTCCATCCCTTGTCATATGCGAGAGTATGTCGGTCTTTCTGGAACAGGGTGTTAATTCGAGGTATGCCCCTATCCCAGGAATCCTAAAATTTAAAAAATAATTGATGTCAATTAGTAACACAGGAATAATATAGCTACAGTAGGTTATCCAGTTATTTTTCTTGAAGAAAATACTATCCATCAATTTGCATTTCTGAATAATTACTACTCTTTTACTCCTGCCCTTTAAAAAGCCACACAGACACGAAAAGTCAAGTACAACACAATACAAACCACAAGAAGAAAAAGAAGTGAAGAATAATAAGAATATGCTAAAATGATATAAGCAAAGAGAGAGAAGAAAGAATGCTGTCAACATATCATGAGTGAAAAAAAGCCCCCAATATATACATATATACAGCACCCGATAACTATAAAAGATGTAAGAAAAACAAGAGCTGCCTTCTCATTCCAGGTGGTTATGGGCTCTGGTGAAAGAATCTACTTGTGTTACTGAGCCATCTATCATGAGGGAAACTTCTAAAGAATATCATGATGACAGATTGTGACTTAAGGCAAATTCTAAAATGACTTGCCATACAGTCGGAGTCATACTGTTCCTACTTGTAAACTACACATTTATGTTAAAAATTATCCATAACATGGTCTTTTCCTGTGTGGAATCATCAGCTCATCAATTGCACTAAAAATGCAATTAATGAACTCACAGATTCTTTTAACACCTACAAATACGCAACCATTTACAACATGATGATACCTAAATTAATTTTATAGTGTATTTAAGTAACTCTACCATAGCAAAAACACAGTAGTTGTCCATTTGGAGCAATATAACTCACTCCTTCATAGACAAAGCAATCAGGTGCTGCCACCTAAGGTAGCAACAGTATGCTGGCTTTCACGGCGAGAGATCAGGAACAAACCCATTATTAAAAAAACAAGTAGCATATTCTAATTAGTATAATAAAGATAAACTCATTAATCAAAACAAATACCTCTAGATCCTCAAGAGTCAGTCGTCTATTTTGTGATTGTGCTTCCTGTCTCTTCAGTGCATATTCAGCCCATACACGCTGTGAATCAATAAACTCACTCTCCCAGGGCTGGAGAAATTGA